TGAGTATGAACTTCTTCACTACTGCTCACGATTATAAAGAGAAGTGATTTTTGAATGAACCACAAGACTTTCGGGACATGTTCGCCTACAAGCTTCAACAATAATACTGATGGTGCAGCGGTAAAAAACAAACTTCCGTCTACTTGTGTGATCAAAAAAGTACTACTTAGCATATTACTGCTGTACTATCTTTCAGGAGGAGTTTTTTTATTGGCTTTTTATTGGATAAAGTCAAGTTAGAACCTTTCAAAGCAAATTAAGTGTTGTTCTATGAAGATATGCCACAGGTTTTGCACAAGTTTCGCAAAAAAGACCACATACACTTGTGCCGCTGAGACATATCCCATCTTGTCTCCTATTTATCTCTCTTGTTACCATTAGTTAACGTATATCAAACATATTTCTTAGACTCTAGTTTGCAAAATTATATAACTTCTTGGCGCACAAAAAAACACCTATGATGGCTTAGTAGCGGAACTACCCCAAAAGCATTTTTAACACTGCTCGGATTTTCTCAAGAAGAGTATCGGTACTTTATACCTACATCCTCAGTAGCCGGAATTCTCCCATTGAATAAAGTGCATGATCTATAAATTGAACCTCATCTTTACGCAACCAGTTTTTAGTCCTATAGTATTAGGTGCATCGTGACCTAGAGCCAACTCTTCTGCGCCTCCAAAATTTCTTAAAAATAATACGACAGACAACTAAATGCTTTCCATATCGAGTTTTGCATAACCAAAATCTTTCAAGTTACTCCCTTTCATTTTTGGTTTCTGAGCGTGTTCTGCAACTGCCTGTTGAAATGCGCTTACGTGGCGCTCCAAAGTCAGGTCAAGAAGCATTAAGTTGTTTGCTGACTGCCACAGCTGTGTGCCCGCAGCTTCCTTTCTTTAATAACCACAGATCTTAGTGAGTTCCTTCAAAAGAGCCTCAAAGCTGAAGAAATAAAAGGAACTAAAAATCTTACCTTATTTTAAAATCCAGCTCAGAAATTATCGACTCTTTTGCTGACATAACGGTCTCAGCAAACAGTTTTTTCGGGAGGTCTGAAAAAATCACACAATAGATTACTTTACCACTCCAATGTAAATCATGTTTCTCAGAGCAAAGGAATAAAAATGTTACGTTAAAATAGATAGTTTTCAGATATTTATGAGAAAGAACCTGGTTCTGCTGCAAGAGGTCTACCAATCCCTACGGCGTCAGCTACATTTGCAACCAAAACCTTGTGGATTTGTTCAGCTGTTACGAAACCACCAATTTGAATTAGTCTAACATTCCTTAAGTGCCTACGAGTCTAGAAAAATTTGTCTTGAATCAAAAAAAAAAGAATGTAAAATAAACTGGTCTACAGTGACACTAAAATCTTGTTTAATGAGTAAAACAATTAAACTAACGAAAGCAAACTTACTCTTTCGACAAAACGGGCGTAGAACTGTTCTCTTCTTTTTGTTGGCTCAAGCATATTTCTTCCCAGTCGTTCCACATACTGATAATGACCGCCAGCAACGGCAACGTAATCCAGTCTTGATTGCTATAATCAATGAATTCTACAGCTCTATCGTTAAGAAACTTGTTATTATCAGCATTTAAAGCTGGACTGCACCACAGTTACTTCAAGTCAGGTATCTCTTAAAACAACATCTCTTAATACGGCAGTGGAAGCCCTGAAAGCAAGAAAGAAGTAGAAGGTCTAAGAAATTCTGTAAAGACTCGGATGGTTCTTGTAAATTCAGATATAGTCCCTCTTCTTCTAGGCGAAAAAGCGTTTGAATAATGAATGCCCCAAAATAAAACTGTAAAGAATGAAGACACCTAATATGTTGTCATCAAGGCCGCTAGAACTTAAACAGGAAGAGATTTTATACTTAAGTTCTTTGGAAACTGATCTAACTATAGCTCCTCGTCTGTGTGATTTTTTTCTGCAGTCTGACCTCAGTTTTGAAACAGGTGTTGTTTACCTCAAGACTGTGAGTCAATATTAGCCCACTTCAGACTACACTAGGCTCAGAACTTAAACTTCTGGATTAGCAAACTTGTGGAGAAATCTTTGGAAGGATTCATTTGGCGCCCCTTATTCCCGCTTAAAATTCGTCGACTTAGTCACAAGTTTTAATAACAACCAGCTTAGGATGGAGAAGCTGCGATACAAAGAAAGGGCGATTACATGACGCATAACTAGAGAGGAATTAGCTGAGAGAAAAAGTTTATGTCCCCTCTAAAAGAATTCGTTGAAGTAAAGCAGTAAAAGGTGTAAATAGTTGCCACAAGAAAGACTTTTTCCCCTTGAATTTTGCAATCCTTCGCTTCTTCTAATAAGCGTAATCAGAAATGCTGTTTTTGCTTCGTACTCAAATTGAGCGGGCTTATGAAATCCCCATCTTTCTGACTATTCCGCAGCAGGTTGCCCTAAACCATAAGGTAGACTAAAAGTTAAGCGTTTATATCTCATAGCCCTTCCCCACCAGAATCTATAAAGTAAGTACAAATTGGAAAAATATTTTGAAAACCTTTAGCTTAAAAGTGACTGGGAATGCACAAGTACACTCTACAACAGGAAGCTCTTCCTCGTCTTACTTATTTTTTACAAATCACTAACATTCTCAAGAACATTTAATGATTGAAAGGTTCATAAATACATTATCTGCTCTAAAATTATCGGCTAAAAAAACATTATTATGATGCAAATTAAATCCATAAAGATTGTGACCAGTCCTAATTAAGCTGAAGGTAGCATAAATCTTTGAAAAATCCTCAAGCTTTGAGAAACGAACATCAAGACTTCGGCAGTAAGCAGCATACTCGTCTTCATTGAAATCTGGTTCATAAATTGGAGAGCTCAATTTTAAACCAATAATAAAATTATTATCATCAGCCACTCTATCCCTGAAACAGCGTAAGAAGATGGTACACATTCAAACGGCACTGTCTAAAATCATTTCTAAAAAAATATTTACCAGTTACATATTGGAAACAATAACTTTCAAAAGTTCACACATTAACAAGGACCTAGGCACTACTTCTTGAACAGTTTTCAGGAAAAATGAAGCAGTACTACATTTAGAAATTAAAACCTCAAATACCTTCGAAAGAGGGAGTAATACACGTTACCTGATCTTCCCAATAATGTCTAAGATGATACGAGTTCTATTCTGCAACGACCCTCCATACTTATCCGTACGCTTATTTGCACGTGCATTTACTATTTCACCCAAAGTAAAATCCAAACTTGAATTTATCTCAACACCGTGGAAACCTTCAAGGGTCATCCTCATCAACTCGCGGAAACCATTTCATTTAAAATGTGGAAAGTAGACTCTACCTGATTTGTAAAGGTAGTGACCTGCATAGGCAACTTCTTCAATAACATTTTCAATTTCAAGTACTGATGCAGTATTTATATCAAACGTGTTAGGTGCTTTATCCTCAAAACTCAACAATCGTTTACCAGGCTAAAAAAAATTAAGGCCAATTCAGAAATATTTGAGAAGTCACTGCAAAATTCAGAAAGTAACCGCAAAATTATTTTTCTTGAAATGATTTGACAAAAATAAATGAAGCTGTTACGTGTACAACTTGGCCAACAATCAAAGTATCATTGCTAGCGCAGGAGGCCCACTTTTCAAACAATTCTCTACGTTCAGCAGAGTCATATTTCTTAGAAATTAGAGCGCTACCAACACTCACAACACCATTCTAAAAAATCAGCAGGAGTCAAAAGAAACTACTTCCGTAACGAAATGAATTAAACAGAAAAACATAAGAATTTCAACGCAACTTAGTTGAAATGACATTACATCAGAAGCCACTATACAGCCAGTAACAGTAATTCCACATCCACCTTCAGCAAATTTTCGGTATAAGTTGAACAGTGGCTCAGTAGGAAGACCAGTTTTTGTCAAACTGAGTGAATCGTAAGTGCATAGCTGAAAAAAGGTACTGTTTACACCTAATGCCAAAAGATTTTTAGAAAACAGTGATCAGTATAAACAAACCTCTTCTATCATTGGAGCTTTCACTATGCGATTTTTAGAAATTATATTTTTCGCAACTCCAAAATTCAACGGTTTACGTAACAATTCAAGTGAAAGCTTTCTGCAAGCATATCGTTGCCCTAAAATGCCATTGAATAACTTTACTGAAATATGCGTAAAAATCAGTATATCAAAATAGAGTTAAAAATGCAGCCTGTTTTACAGTGCTAAAATCTCCGAGCCACTATTACCAGAACCGCTCTCAAAAGTGTATTTAGAAATCTAAAATTAGCCTATATTTCGGCAATAACAAGTCTATCAAAAGAGAGATAAAAGAATAGAAGAGGGACCTGGTTGGATCGTAGCAGCCATTGCTTAAAAATTTTCAAACGTCAACCGAGTAGAAAAATAAAGTACTGATCAATAGCTGAGCACTCTTATGATGGAACCGAGCGATTACAAGACACAAAAACAGTGCCTGCAATATGAAAAGACTCAAAAGCAAAATTCCTTCACCCACTACTAGAACAATATTATACATTCATATATGCTGTTTACATTTACCACCTTTTCCGAATAGTTCTTCTCAACTCCTCAACATAAATTTCCCATTACAGTCTGTTTACATCTACAAATTCAGAGTCCGGAGTAACTGAGCTGTTGCTGCCAAAAGTAGGCAGTGTCTTAGATGGGCATTAACTGTCGCACGAAATACATATATCCAGACGGTTTCGTAAGGGACTCCATTAGAAATAAACGGCAGCTGAGTTGCCGAGCAGTGAAGTGTGTTGAGCAAAGATGCGAAAAATTTCATATTTTTTTGCAGTAAGACAAACTTCAAAAGTTGATTATCTCGTATTCTATTCATAAAATTTGGTGGCCTCTCATAGTCACAAAAAGTTTGTAATTTTAAACCCTGCGCTACACATGTTTAGTTCCAGTGAAAAATCTTAATTTGGGTCTAAACACATGCTATTATCTTGATTTTTGACTTGCTCAGAGAAATCGCTCCTGACCACAGTTGTCTAAACTAAATTATATAAATTTTTCCACAACCAAGTCCCACTTTCATTCATACGCCTTTCAACCAACAGTAACTTCCGCATAGCTACTCTACTACGTGAATCTATACTTGTTCAATTTACCTTTCTTGCTGGTAAATGAAGTAAACAAATTAGGCATTTCAGATGAACTTTTTGAAATATATGAAAGCCACCTGCATTATCAGTCCGGTAAAGGTATATTATAGCTTTTCGACACGAAACACTCACAGGAATTGACTTTTCCAAGCAGGACCTATATGAATGACTTTCTAAGCAAGGAGCATTGGAACCACCATCATTTCTTGCTTGAACGTTGCTGCAACACTGCTGCCACTGTCTCCGCCAGCTGTCACATTATACATAGATATCCATATACATATTTACTTTTTCTATATGTATATAAATAGTGCTGTGGCTTTGGTTTCCAATCTTGAAGAGCTTCAAACGTCAGAAGCATTTTTTTAAACAAAGAAACTAAATTTTTCAAATAAGTAGACATTTTACTAAAAAAAACAGTTAAAATAAGTGTTCTTTTCCATATGGCAAATGCTATAATTTTAATATACTTTTGCACCTGTTTCGGACAGAAACATATTTCAGTGTTAGTAATTAAATCTAAGTTTGTAATTAGTGGAAAAGGCTTACGAAATGGCTGAAAAAGCTGGACGATAGGGGACAACTGTGTGGTGTTTTATGCGTGCAGCTATTATTCTTTCGCGGAATCTTGCCAAGATTCGTATTTTGAGTGCCTGAATAATTTAGAAAGATTTCAGGCAACTGTATGAACTACAGTCTATTAAAAATATGCGCAATGGAACTGATTTTGGGCCTTTAGTGGCGCAGTCGTTTTTGGAACTGAGCGGTTTTCGATCTATGTGAAGACTTAAGAGAAGATGGAAGATGCCTAGTTAGGTCAGTGAGAACCACTGAATGGGTAATTGAGCTGTACAAGTGAATGTTTACCGGACGTAAGCCGGGAATTAGTTGAAGCTATGCTACTCGCTGAAGGGTTTTTGAGCTTCAGTATTTCACCTTCACAATAAAACTCAGTCCAGTTTTTCCTCATTGGCAGCTTTCCAAGCGAACACTTAGAGCATGTGCTTCCAAGTCTTGAATCTTTTATGCTGTACAGTATCTGCTATTAGTTTATTCGTAAATAAAAAAAATATGTCTATGTACATTATTTGTTTTTATTTATTTTTATCTGTTTGCTTGCTTATCTATTTGCTTCTCTATTTATTTATTTATTTACTTTATTTTTAAAATCATTTTCGCTTGTATGTTAGGGTTTTCTACTGAGAGCCCTAGTTTTTTTGGGGCGGTGAAACATTAACAGGGAGGGAGGGGAGAAAAATTGGGAACGAGCGAATAGCGCAATAGATAGGGTGAGTGGGGAAATAAATGTCCAAATTAAGTTCTAAAAAAAATAACATATAGGTTACTTGATTTAGTTGTAAGCCCTTCCACTCGGAAACTGATCTCTGTGATTCACTGTAGCGCAAAGTAATTGCGCTGGCTGAATCCCAGCACCTCGCTTGTTTGAGTGGTACTTTTTATCAAAAAGTTTACTTTGACGGATCAAAATTTTCCTCCAAAAATGTTTTTGTGTATCTGTTTGTGTTTTTTACGTCGAGCACGGTTTTTGCGCACGTATTGAGCGTTTGGTGATGACTAAGGGGATTTTTTCTTTTTTTTTGTAAATTTATTTGGTTGGTGAACCTCGTAGAGTTTCTCGCATAAACCTAGGCTATTTCTAGGTAAAACATAAGGATTGGCATTTGCAGTTACCTATTAATTTAAAGAAAGGTTTAAATTTTACATAAAGCGTCTAACTTTTGTTTTAACACTTTCTTTTTTGGTAATTTGACTGTTGTGCTCTAATTGTTCGCCCTGATCAGTAACGGTTGTTTTTGTTTTATTGTACGTTTAAGAAAAGAAACTTGCCTTGTTTAGTGGACTGAGGGCAAAAAATTGATCATCAGGGCCATAATTCAAACGTAAAACATGTCCTCTTTCTTCAGTGCAGAGTAGCATAAATATACTTTTAACTGGTAAGACTTTACAATCGCAGTACAAAAAAATATATTATTGTGTAAGAATATACTTTTAGTTTTTACCGCTTTGACGGCAAGAAATTGATGTTTTCATTTGAAACTTATTTTGCTGTCAAAAGCTGCAGGCAGTAAATGGGGCAGTTTTTTGAGTACTTCAAAAAAAGAGCGTGGTATTAAGAAAGAAATAACTCAAGAATAAGAAGCAGCCAAAAATTACACTTAGATCTTAAAAAAGTTCCAGGACTGTAGTTCCTTCGCGCGTTCTCAGCTCAGAAATATAGTCCATTTTATAATGGCATATCTGTCATAAGATTATACATTTTTTAAAACATTTAAGCAGCACCACAGCACCGGAGAACGAGCAAAGTAAATATACAAAACAGTTTCTAGAATTAGCCCAGATTTCATACGAACCTTACGACGTCCGCAGATCAGATTATGTTATAAATTTTCAAGAAACACTCTTAGTCGTTATCGAGGGTAGAATATATTTGTTATGGCTGTGTTCGACGTAAAATGCGCGAGTAAATAACTAAAAAACATTGGTGAAGGAAAGTTGTGATTTTTTGAATTTAACCCTGACAACTATAATACGCATAACAGTGAAGTCCAGCTATTCATTAACCCAACTTGAGCGCTTTACAGCTGCATTAATAAAGTAAAAGAAAAAAAAAACACGAAAAAAAACGGTTGTTGAAGATTTCTTTATCCTCCTATGGTATTGGCAAGTAATGCAAGGAAAAAGTATGTTTGAGCACTGGAGGTATATTGAAGTAAGGGTTAAATACAGATGGAAGGCGCATGATGGTACTGTACTGGGACAAGTTTATTTCAGTTTGTGATCGTGATCTCTTTGAGTTGAAAAGTTTTTTTGAAAATCTTCCTGCATAATAAACTGATTTATGCTTCATAGAAAATTTATTTTGTCGTATGAGACTGGGAAGAGAAGTTATGTAGAAAAGCAGAGCTTAGCTTGTAGTTACTATGCTAGATAACTTTTCTGTATCAAATGTGCGTACGTCATTTAGGAAGCAAGACGTAGAACACTGCTCTTACACTGTTGAAAGCTAAAAGATGATTCTGAAAACAACATACAAAACGCATAAGCTTCTGGTTATAGAACATTTCCTTTATACGAGAGAGGTTCTGGTGTAATAGTTATTTGTGAATCGCGTATTACTATAATTTTTTTCCTGGGGCATCATTGACCTGGTGTTCCTTCCTCTACCTCTACCTATAGGCATGGAAGATGCGATTTCAGTGTTTTTTTCAAGATTTTGCCTCGTGTACAAAGGAAAGAAAGGAAAAAATTTTTTATTTTGTGGGAAAAAGTGAATAATGAACAATCCTGCTACTGATTTATTGTATAATATTAGTTGTTTGATGGAACGCTGTTCTTTTAGCATCTGTCTTACAAGAATTGTTTTATCTGTGATTTTTTCGTGAACAAGCTGTTGATTCTCACCATCTTCTATCGGCATTTACAATTACATCATGTATAGAGGAAATTGTTCTTCGTGGGCTCAGAAAGACTTTTAAGACCTTGTAAAGGTGCTTTGGACACTTAATAAGAGTAGAAGTTCTAATTGTATTGAGAAAGCAGAATTATCTGTTATTCAGTCACTAAGAACAAAAAAAAAAATGCTGGCTGTTAAGTACTGTCATTTTGTATGGAAATTCACTATTGGGAATTGTTCAAGTTTGGGAATTCAATTTTTTTTGCACAGGACGTCTGTATTTAGACTCCTTATGTGGAAAACCTTTCAACTAAATTCCATTTTATTATGTTTTTCGATGTTTCTTTCTGATTTCTGGATTCTCCCACTGTTATTTCAAGGTGAAAAATTACAGTTTCTGAATGACTGTAGTTTAATTTCGTTCAAGGTCTAAATTAGTGATCATGGGTATCACAAATTCACAGCCTGTTGAACAGACCGAGCACTGCCCGCATGGGAAAGAACAGGTAGGCTTAAATTATCTATTTTCACATTTGAATGACAACGACTCATTTTATAACACGTTTTTTTTTTTAGTTTTTTCTTCTAAATCTTTCAGGAGGTTTGTATTGTATCATATTTTTTTCTAGGGTAGTTGCATGATGAGTGGAAGTCCTTCTGGGTGTCCTTTAAATGCGAAAGTTAATTCCAAGCCTAGCGATGTCGACTCGTGTTTTAACCCTTTAAATAATGTTGGTTTCTTTCGTTTCGCAGTTGGCTTTATCTATAAAATCCTTTAAAGAAGCTTTATTTTTTTTTATTCGAAGAGTTTTCAAAGGTTTTTGACTTATTTATTTATTTAGCTTACTTCAAATTTGTACTGCCGTTGTGGTACTTCAGTTAGGTTGTTTTGCGCAGTGTTAGAGATTAAATATCAGTTCACAATTTTTATCAAGCTTATTATTTGATTAGACGTACCAACCGGATCAAAACCCTTCACCTAATCAGCCTTTTCCGTTACGTAAAGACCGTGAAAAGTCAACGATACCAAAAGCAGGGACTGATGAGACATGGGAATATCCATCACCGCAAATGTTTTGGAACGCAATGCTGCGTAAAGGTTTCTCTTTGAGCATTTAAATATTATAATCTAATTTTATCATAATTTTTCCTGAATAAAATTCTAAAGCAGCGTATTTTTTTGCTTGTGTCTTGCTTTCAAAAAGATTGTCACCTCCAGCTTTTCAAACATTTTTAGGTTTTCACTTTTTGCTCTAATCTCATTTCCAGATGCAGCTTTTTTGAATATAATAAGTAAGCATTTTAAGGATGGCGTTGGGAAGAAGATCAGATTTCTGAAAGAGATATGGAAAATATTATTTCAATTCACAACGCAAATAACGAAGAAGCATGGCGTGAAGTTTTAAAATGGGAGCACATGTTACACCCGTCAGTTTTTGTTAGTTTTATTCGGCCTAGTTTTTCTTGTCAGATTTGATAAGTTTATGAAACGTATTACTAGTTGGTAGTTCCGTTTTAAATTTTATTTTTGGAAATATACAGTACCTGGATTTTCTAAAGCTGTTTTGGAACGCATGCTTTTATAATCGTTTTCAGTGAATGTGATTGTCCGAAACTGAAAAGTTTTAAAGGAGATGCTAAAAAGATCTCACCGCGAGCTCGTATTCGCAACTGGATGGGGTGAGAAGTTACATTAAAATGCCTCGTCAATTCAAACTTTTAATTGTTATTTGCGTTAAACATTGCTTAAATCTCGCTCTTTGATGACATAGTCGGCGTTACTGTAGACATGTTGGTTCATTCAATTTTTTGAATTTGCAGGTATCAGTTGCCGTTTGACCGGCATGATTGGGTAGTGGATCGATGTGGTCTTCAAGAGGTATTTTTGCTTTAGTAGCGGAGTTCTCGTTCTGACACTTCTTAAATGTACGATACAGTTTAGAGGCTTTTGCTCGATAGAAGAGAGGGGAAATTGACTTTCACCCATCATATCGTTGAGATTTATAGTGTGCTTGCTGTAGTATGTGGCTCGTAAAATGTTAACCATTCAAATTGTCACAAAACTTATGGAAATTTTTTAAGATTTTATCATCCACATTCTGAACTTTTACCCCCTGCGTCTTTTAGTATTTGAAATGTGTAGCCGTATTGCCTTCTTGGTGAGACGGTACGATAGCTAATTGCTTAGCATCCATCGCAAAAGGCTTGAATTATGGCGTCAAGAAAAGTAACCTTTCTCTAGGCTTAAATAGTCAAAGTGTATAAAATTGCGAAATGGCAGAGCAAAAATTACAGTCGTCCTACGTATTTAAAGATTTAATTTTCAATTTCATAATACTCTGCTTGGTCAACATTTTTCAGGCAGACAACATCAATTTACAGCAAGTTTTTTAAAGCCCCTTATTAGTCGATATTGCAGGTTCGGTACGTGATTGATTACTACGACGGTGGAGATGTTGATCCAAAGTCCAAGCTATTTACATATTTAGATGTTAGACCAGCAATGGACAGTTGGAGGTCTGTTTGGGATAGGATGGTGGTTGCTTACTGGCGGTTTAAGTTTGACTACTTTGGTATTGCTCCAAGAGCTCCACGTCAGGCATCGCAATCCTCTGACATGTGAAGAATGGGCTTGACTCTTTTTCTGCGGATCATTAGGTAGCGCATTGGTAGAGCTTGTAATCTGTTTTCTGAACCGTTTTTATTTATTAGCGTCTATTTTTTATTCAGACTTCTGATGAATACTTCTTCAATAGTCTCCGAGCTACTGATGATATTCAGAGATATTTTCCAGTAATATTAAATGGTTTCATTATTATAACTTTTTTGGCTGAATTTGTGATGCAGCTGCTGTTAAAAAAGCACTTAAATTTTAAAAAAAGAAATGGATTTATCATCTTTTACATTATTAGTTTTCTGCAGCTGCTTGTAAATTAATTTTTTGCAACTAGGTACAGATTATCAGGATCACTGTATTGAGTGTGATTTTTTATTTTAACGTTTGTTTTGGTCTTGTTTTGCTTTGATGTTTAACAAATGTTAGCGCTAGTTATTTGCACTATACTTTATAACGGTAAATGCTCAAACTTTTCAATTTATTTCAAAGCTTTCAATAGTTTTTTACATTTATAATGTTTTAGCTTTACAAATAATTTTTGGAACTTTGTTGTATATGAATAAATTTTCTGCAGAGTTTAGAAAATATTGCGTTTGAATGGTTTCGAGGAGATTTTTGTCATTATCTATTATCAGTTAAGCTTTTTATGCCTATATTGTGGCGAATTGTTACGAAACTGTTGGTTAATTCTTTTTTGTAATTTCGCTTTGGTAAGTGGCATTCACAGTTAGCAGTATTACATTTTGGATAATTGAACAGATACGGCGTTAGACGAGGTCTAATGGTTCTACACTATTGTCGGTGTAAAGGATATAAAATGTTTGCTTGCTGTGGTCTTGAGAAGCACGGACTGGAGGTTCCAGTAGTTTTGCGAAATTGAGCAATTGAATTTGAGTCCTTGTGCTTGTTTAGTGGCAGACCGCTTCAGTCTTTAGAATCTTGCAGGGTGTTGTATAGGGTGTATAAAGTTCCTCACAGTGTTGAAAGGGTTTAGTATTTTGAAAGTCAGCCTACTTGCTCTGCGAGAAGTATTCAGGTTTTGCCTTATAAAATGGTGCATACTGAAAGTTTTATTCATTCTTAATGAACAGATTGTTTTAAAGTTTCTTTATGCGGACCTTTAGCCTTCAAATATTTCTTCTTTCAGTATTTTGATACGATGTTGTAACTATTTTTAGTGAGATGCCGTTACTCTTTCGAGTGCTTCCGCGTCTGCAAGACGCAGTGCGGCACGTAAAAGCGTCGGGGAACATGCGTGTTTTTGGAAAACTGTAGGTTTTTAGGTGCTTCAGTTGTACAGTTTAGCCAGGAAGCTATGAATATTATGAGCTATACAGGAAGTAGAATTACATAAAATATTTTGTTTTCGTGATGGTTTCTTGTTTGTTTCTTTTTATTTAGTTTAATTTTATGTTTCTGCCTGATGCTGTTTTACAAGGCACATTATCAAGGTCCACCATAAGTAAGAGGTACCTCATCTTGGGTACTCAACTTACGGAACAACTGACTCAGAAGCAAAGGCGAACGATTGGACTTTGGCTTTTAGGGTGTGCAGGTTGCGTATACGGAGCAGTAGCCTTAGGCGGTGTAACAAGGTATTTTTTGCTAACAACTTTTTAACACTGTAAAAAATTTATTGAACATTAATAGCGGCGGTCAGATGCAGTTCATTTAAATATGAAAAAGTTTTTGCAGTGGTCAGAGGCATTTCTTGCTAATTAATTAATTAATTCAGAAATGCCTGTTTAGACAGTAGCTCTTTAGTGAAACTTGCAGTCAATTTTTTATTTACATGACAAATTTCGTACTTTTTCAATACCCACCAGTTTTATTTCAGATTTGTTGATAATGAGTTTTACTTTTTTCTTCTACAAAGTTAATCTGTGAGATTTCACATTTTTTTTTCAGTTTTTACTGCATCTTTTGAAATGGTTTAAATTTTTAAGTATTTAATTTAAGATTGACAGAGTCTGGCTTGAGTATGGTGAATTGGGACCTCATTAAGACGATGAAGCCTCCAATTGGGCAAAAGCAGTGGGAAGAAGAATTTGAACGTTACAAACGATATCCGGAATATGAATAGTTAGCTACTTTCATTTTATTATTTTAAAATTTGGTATTTGTTTACTTCGCGTCTCTGCCAGCGTATCTGCCAAAGCTTGCGAAAACCTATTTTCTTCAGAACTTTGGAATATTTGTCAGCCTAAAAGTAGCCGTTTTCTACCTTTTACGCTGTTTTCTGAATGTGGTTCTAAGCCGGTCGTACCGTTGGTTATGCTCGAATGTACCTGAAATACAGAGTATGTGAATCACAAATCCGGGGAAACCTTCTTTCCTATCCTTCAAACAATGCTTTTTTTTGTGTAATGTAGCAATATGCAATTCACAGAGGTTTCTTTGTTTAAATCAAAATCTCAGACGCAAAAAAAGTTACTTGTAGTTTAGTTTTCAAGGGGTTGAAATTTTTTTGGAACTACAGTTGGTGCTTATATAAAGGCTGAAACTCAAAGGGTCTGTAACTAAGATTAGAATGGTTTTCACAGAACTGTGGCACTAATGCTGGTTAGCAAGGCTTCTTAAAAAGGAAAAACCAATACAGGCTTACTCAGCAGCTCTGGCTGTTACTTGTTTAAATAGCAGTAGTCAGTGCTGTGGCTCTGCTTGTCACGTTAGCTAGCCCGTATTTTATGCCTGGAGAAATGACTACGAGGAGCGCAAAATGAATAATTGCACATATTTCTACCTGCCTTCGTTTGGGTTTTTATTGAACGCTTGCTGATATAGTTATGTAATGCTAATCGGCAAATATTTTTCTAGATTATGTAATCACGTTTTTACTTTTAGTAAAACTAACGTGGAAGATATGACACTGTCACAGTTTAAATTTATTTGGAGCATGGAATATCTGCATAGAATGTGGGGTCGCTTCACAGGTGTAGTCTTCCTTTTGCCTTGTATATACTTCTGGGCAAAAGGAAGGTTCAATAGACCTATGAAAACCAGAATGCTAATTGCTGGGTCGCTGCTTATGGCACAAGTTGGTGGCAACTCATACAGTACAAAATTTTATTAGAAATGAGATGTTTTTCAAAAATTTTTATCACATTTTCGGGAAACAATTAATTCTCGTTTTAATTAGGAGGGGGCTTAGAGAGCCAAGTCCGTTTATGCAATCTGGAACTTTTCAGGGACTTATTGGTTGGTGGATGGTCAAGTCCGGACTTAATCCGAGCCAAAATTCAAACAAGGAAATTCCTCGAGTTTCGCAATATCGGTTGGCTACACACCTTACGATGGCTTTTGTTCTCTATACAGTTTTTCTTTGGACTGGGCTTTCCCATATATTTAAGCCTCATGATGTGCGTTAATTCAATCGATTTTATTGTTTATGAAGATCTGATTTTTAGTATAGTTATTGAGGAACGTTAACTTTTGGGTATTTTTAGCATACAAAGCTTCATAACATAAAAGCTCTGCGGATTATGACGCACTCCTCAAAAACTTTAATAGTTTTAACTGCAGTTGTCGGTTTGTCATTTTTTTTCGTTTGTGATTTTGTAATTTTTTTTTAATTTTCTTGAAAGAGATACAGTCACACACATTTTATCTATTTAGGAGCGTTTGTGGCTGGATTGGATGCGGGCTGGGTCTACAATTCGTGGCCGAAATTTGCCGACAGATGGATACCAGAGGACCTTTTTGTTTCAGAACCGAAATGGAAGAACTTTTTCGAAAATCCACCTGCCGCTCAGTTTTTGCATAGAAATATGGTTCGTGAAGTAAGATCAGAAATTAGCTATATTAATTTTTTTTTTAAAGGTTTTGGACAGTTTTAGGCTTATTTGACATTATTATCAGTAACGCTTACTTGGTTAATTGGCAGACGTATGAATCTTGGAAGACGAGCCAAACTAGTTTTACATTCTACAATGGCCATGAGTTACGTTCAAGTTCTTCTTGGGATTTGCTCATTGGTGAGCAGTTGTTGCTTGTTGGGGCGAAGGGAGGGAAGGCGATCATTTTTTATGGACTGCTTTGTTTTAGCTTTCTTTTTGGTGCTTGGTGGTTTTTCCTAAATTGTTTTTTTTAGCTATACTACGTGCCGGTATGGCTTGGTACCCTTCACCAGAGTGGGTCTATGGCCGTAATGACACTTGCGTTTTGGCTTTCCAATGAAATTCGACGCATTCCAAAATGATCTTAAGTGTTGTTTTTGTATTAGCAAAATCCTTTAATTTTTCTCTTTGATTAATTGCTTACCGTCGTTATGATATTATTTATT